GGGGCCATTGGTCACCATTCTTTCCGAATCCTTCGAGAAGCCTCATTTCCAGAAACAATTGTTATCAATTAGCATGGGATGTTGCTCATATTATCAACCACTGGTGTGTCTGGTCCCGACTCGACTATTTAAAGGTCGAGGTCTTCTAATTGGAATCTTACTGGTGTTACTAAATGCCGGGGTAAACTGACATGTTCGTAACTTGCTTACCATGTTGAAGCATTTTCATCCTCTGTGTAACCTGCTCTGTTGTGTAAAACTGTGCTTCACGATTGAGTTTGTACTGGCCCCTCACCCTATCTACTACTGGAGCTACGGCCCTGGCCGAGTGATGGAAACGCTTGGTCAGCATGTAACTGTCCGTTGCTATGACAACACTCAGAAAAAAACATCAACAGATGGGACGTGTACGCTGCCAGGAACCGAGAGAAACATGACAAGGGCGTGGCGGAGATTCGTCAGCGAGAGAAAGACTGGGATCGACTGGGGGCTTTCATCAGAGACGAATCAGGCGTGTATAAACTAGGTACGTCAACGGAGACGAACCAGGGGCGTATAGACTGGGTAGGTCACAGAGAAGAACCAGGCGTGTGCAGACTGGGTTGGTCACAAGAGACGAATCAAGAATGTACAGACTGGGTAGGTCACCAGAAACCAAAGACGAATCAGGCGTGTACAGACTGGGTAGGTCACCAGGGATGAATTAGGCGTTTACAGACCGGGAAGATCACAGAGACGAATCAGATGTGTACAGAAAAATAGGTGACCAGGGACGAATCATGAGTATTCAAACTTGATGGTGACCAGATACGAACCAGGCGTATTCATACTTATAAACACCACAGGCACGATACTGTTTGCCATGAATAAGCTAGTGGTTGCTAAGCAAATACTACATCTACGTTTCTAGGTACCGTAGAAGAACAGATAGGACGTCAGCAGAAATATTCCGTGAGATGGGGCGATGGCCAGTGCAGCGAACAGATGTCCATCCACATCTATGGAACATACATCCCTATCATCAAGTTCAAGGTCGGCAGCTACATCCTGGTACTTGCTGACCCTGACAGAATACATTTCCTTCCGGGTCAAGTGAGAAATGTCCCGGAGATCGAGACGATCAAAGTGGAGTTTGTCAATGGGAAAAGGTATTACAGGAATGTTTGAAATGGAGTCAGTTATATTTAATCAAAATACAGAAAACGGTCCCCAGGATTGTTATTTCCACCAGTAGTCGTGTTCGATGGACAGATCAAACTCGGGTAGAGTAAGGATCCTCATATAGTTTAACATGTAAAGACATGGATGTACAACAACTTGAGACTACACCAATACTGTATAATGTAGAAACATACGCCCTCTCACAAATTCTGGATTTCAGCTCAAAGAATGTACTTTCCAGACATAGTTACTGGATGAACAAGATGGCGTTCCTTGAAGCAAAGAATATGATTCTGTGGCATTACCAAGACAGGAGTGATGAGGAAGACTCCCCTCGTTACGGATAGACTGCATTCAGGTCATCTCCATCCAATATATGACATCTCGGAAAGCGTCTGAAAAAATCCATATTGGATGTAGTCACAATTTCACGTGACTGTAACATGATGCAATGACAGACGTCGTGACCCTTATACACGCCAACAGGTTGCTGACATTCTATGAATGTAATGGCGACGAAGGTTCGGTGAATCTGGTGATGGACTTAGTTAAAAAAACTGGATGAAATCAAACCAACGAAACAAACATCTATGACAGTTTTTTTTAAAGAAATGTGCTTCATGGGAAATGTCAAGATATTGAGTGAAGTTAAGTAAGACGTAATGTGTAATATGAGTCAATGAGATGAAGAATGTTTATTGGTACATATATATATATATATATATATATATATATGCATATATATATATATATATATATATATATATATATATATATATATATATATATATATATATATATACACACACATCAGTATACATCAGCAATACGTTTTGCTTGTTTGATCCAGTTAACCGGACGCCATGTTATCCGGACGATTTCTGAATGTAACCAAAAAGTCCGGATAAACGGGTTTCGACTGTATACAAAAGCTGCTCCATGTGAAATTGAAGGTTTGACGTGTATCTGGCAATAATTTTAATAAAAGCATAACTATATCTTAAAAACATCAAGTTATGTTTTGAAACTTTCATATTTTCCTATCATATCCTTGTTTTGTTTGTGTGAACGAGGAAAGGGGGAACAGATTGTCTTAGCCGACTTTCGTGATTGTGGTACCGGGGTTACGTCATAACTACTGCTTCAACTCTATCTACGGCGGTACACTTTTGCCACCGATGTTGGAAGGATGATGATGTCTTTAACGTTTGTTGTGGTGGCAATGGCAAAACCTTCCACTGTTTTTCTTGTAGTTAGGGCTCGAAGTGGCGAACCAAGGCTTCACCCATAGATACAAATAGTTGCAAGAACCTTTCTGAATCAGCCTCAAACGATATGTTGTACCATATCAAGCTTTGGAACCCATCGAGTTGACACACGTTGAGAACGTGCAGTGTCCGTGTACTTTCGTTTTTAATTATCTCGTGTGTTTGTGTGTGTGAGTGTGCGTGTGTGTGTGCGTGCGAGTGCGCGTGTGCGTGCGTGCGTGCGTGTGTGTATGTGTGAAATGAAATGTCAAAACGAACGATTTCACTCAAAATTTAGCTGTCAACCCTGTTAGTATTCAACTGTCACATGTAGTGAAAATGTGACTTCGGGCTTGTTGTTATATAATATATGATATATACGACACTGATTATGTTTCACCACATTGATTATAACATTGTTATCATTTTTCCTGCGCTGATATTTACTTGTTTCAAATCTGTACCCATTTTTCTTGTCCCCGCCGTGATATTGCTGGAATATTGCTCAAAGCAGTGCAAAGCCATGTCCTATCAGGTATATGACTGATGCAACTGACTTAGTTTAGTTTTACGCCGCTTCATCAATATTCCAGCAATATCACGGCGGGGGACACCAGAAATGGGCTTCACACATTGGACTGATACAAAACCGTTAATGTTACCACAACTGACCGAAATACACCACTTTCATACAAGAATATATCATATGAAAAAACAACAATTAAGTGCTCAATCTTAATTTATCGAATGTCTGCCTTTTCAACAATCAAGTTTATCCCCAAACCTTGGAAGGGTGACCGTTCAATCAGCGGTCATGATCAATCTCAATTCGTTACAATGTAAAAATACTTGTAAAGTCAGCGTTAGCCCGAGTAAATGCAAGGAACCAGGCTCCTCTGTTCACAACCTCACTCAAACCTTAACCTAAACTAATGTCACCATAAACACCGTTCAAACTGGCGTTAAATCCATCTCTCTCTCTCACTCTACAAGCTCACTGACTCATACAAGCGTTAACCAACTGCCTCACTCACTCTACAAACTCGCTTGTCATGATGTTACCCTAAACACCGTTCATACTGGCGTTACATCCATCTCCCTCACTCACTCTACAACCTCACTTGTCATGGTGTTACCCTAAGCACTGTTCATAGTGGCGTTAAACCCATCTCCCCCACTCACTCTACAACCTCTCTTGTCATGATGTTACCCTAAACACTGTTCATACTGGCGTTACATCCATCTTCCTCACTCACTCTACAACCTCATTTGTCATGTTGTTACCCTCAACACTTTTCATACTGGTGTTACATCAATCTCATTCACTCACTCTACAACCTCAATTGTCATGATGTTACCCTAAACACTGTTCATACTGGCGTTAAACCCATCTCCCTCACTCACTCTACAAACTCACTTGTCATGATGCTACCCTAAACAGCGTTCATACTGGTGTTACATCCATCTCTCCCTCAAATTTAGGCACTAACAAGTTTTCCGAATAGTTACTGTCTAGAACTTTGTGCATTATTAATAACATTAATTCATAAACAACCTTTATAGCCAGGAATCGCGTTTTGGGTGTTCGAATCCCAGGTCTTGTGCGAACCAGGAATCGTGTTTTGTGTGTTCGAATCCCAGGTCTTGTGCGAATCAGGAATCGCGTTTTGGGTGTTCGAATCCCAGGTCTTGTGCGAATCAGGAATGGCGTTTTGTGTGTTCGAATCCCAGGTCTTGTGTAAACCAGGAATCGCGTTTTTGTGTGTTGGAATCCCAGGTCTTGTGCCAACCAGGAATCGCTTTTTGGGTGTTCGAATCCCAGGTCTTGTGCGAACCAGGAATCGTGTTTTGTGTGTTCGAATCCCAGGTCTTGTGCGAACCAGGAATCGCGTTTTGGGTGTTCGAATCCCAAGTCTTGTGCGAACCAGGAATCGCGTTTTGGGTGTTCGAATCCCAGGTCTTGTGTAAACCAGGAATCGCGTTTTGTGTGTTCGAATCCCAGGTCTTGTGCCAACCAGGAATCGCTTTTTGGGTGTTCGAATCCCAGGTCTTGTGCGAACCAGGAATCGCCTTGTGTTGTTCGAATCCCAAGTCTTGTGTGAACCAGGAATTGCGTTTTGTGTGTTCGAATCCCAAGTCTTGTGTGAACCAGGAATCGCGTTTTGTGTTTTCGAATCCCAGGTCTTGTGCGAACCAGGAATCGCCTTGTGTTGTTCGAATCCCAAGTCTTGTGTGAACCAGGAATTGCGTTTTGTGTGTTCGAATCCCAAGTCTTGTGTGAACCAGGAATTGCGTTTTGTGTGTTTGAATCCCAGGTCTTGTGAGTGAGTGAGTTTAGTTTAACGCCGTTTTTAACGCAATATTCCAGTAAATATCACGGCGGGGGACACCACAAATGGGCTTCACACATTGTACCCATGTGGGGGATTAAACCCATGTGTTCGGCGTGACAAGTGAAGGCTTTAGGCACTAGGCTACCCTACCATCCTCTAAATGTTACTGAACTAGTAGCTGCATAGCTGTGTTAAATCACATTCTATTCTGCTGCATCGGGGATTGTTATAGAGAGGAAAAGAATACAAAACACACAAATCAACAATAATACAAGCATTATTTTAATTCATGTATTTACTTTACGAAAGAAGAAAGGACGGCATGTAATGCCATTGCCAAAACTAAAGGTTATTTATAACATTAAGTTTTAAGATTACACTTTCTCAGTAAAATGCAGATTTAGACTTTTCTTAGGTTCAGTCCCATACGGGATTTGAACCCACATCGTCAGAGTCAGGCACCTCAGGCATCTCAGAGCACTAAGTGTGAACTTTTTTTGCACGTCAGTGTAATACTAGCTAGCTGAAGTATAAAAGTAATTAGGAAGTAATATTTCTTATAAATGTTCCATTAGTAAACTCATAAGAGCAAATAACATGCATAATGATTGGTATTACAGTGTTTTCTATACAGGGATATTCATTTTGCTGTTATGTGTTTACTAATGGAACATTTATTAGAAATATTACTTATTAATACCTTTTATGTGAAGAATATAATATCAAAATTGACAAAAACTATGCAGTTATGGAATATATTTAATCATTTCAAATAAACTTGGCCATTCGGACTACCCCCTTGGGAAATTTGACAAATATCCGGGCCAATTTGACCAAATTTTCTAGGGCATTTTGGAGCTGGCTCAATTCGACTGGTACCCTCGTCACCAAGATAATACCTCGGACACCATGGAAATATTGACAGTGCGTGTATTCACTGTAAGCAACACGGACCGATTCCTCAGTATGTGGTTTGTACAACATGGCGGACGATTTTGATTAAATATTCATGGTGAAAATATATTCACTTTCATATAAAGCAATAATCACACATATTGGTCACGGCCATTTTCATATTGGGCCACGTGAGTTAGGAAGCCAGAGACTTCAATAGCAGCAGTATTTGCATATAAGGGCCCTGACTTCTGCCATATTGTGTCATGTGACAGTCACGTGAATTGTGAAACTAGTGACTCTAGATCCAAATTGGATTCTTCCAGATGCTCTCCGAGATGTCATATATTGGATGGAGATGACCTGAATGCAGTCTAGTCGAAACGAGGGGAGTCTTCCTCATCACTCAGGTCTTGGTGATGCGCCAGAAACATCTTCTTTGCCTCAATAAACGCCATCTTGTTCATCCAATAACTATGTTTGGAGAGTACATTCTTTAAGCTGAAACCAGAATTCGTGAGTGAAAGTATGTTTCTACACTAAACAGTATTGATGTAGTCTCAAGATGTTGCACATCCATGTCTTTACATGTAAACCTATAAGAGCATTTGAACTATACCTGAGGGTGACATTTAAACGAAGTGGCCATCGAATATCGCTACTGGTGTCTCCAAGTATGTCACATCTGCGTTTAACAACAGGAAGTACGTTTGTAGGTGTCATGATAAAAAAATAACCAGTATGAAGTTTCCAAAAAAGATTTAGAAAACAATCCATATTTTGTCTCTTGATTAAACATAACTGATCCATTTCAAACATTCCTGTAATACCTTTTCCCATTGACAAACTCCACTTCTAGCTTTTGATCGTCTCCATCTCTGTGGACATTTCTCACTTGACCCGGAAGGAAATGTATTCTGTCAGGGTCAGCACGTGCCAGGATGTAGCTGCCGACCTTGAACTTGATCATAGGGGTGTATGTTCCATAGATGTGGATGGACATCTGTTCGCTGCACTGGCCATCGCCCCATCTCACGGAATATTTCTGCTGACGTCCTATCTGTTTTTCTATTGTACCTAGAAACGTAGATATATACTGAGTAAAAAAAGAAACTTCACAAAATGTAATTTGAAAAATGATAAATAATTTTTCTCTGATGAGACATCTATGTAACCGAAATGGGATCCCTATCTTTCGACTCTAGAAAAACGTTACTAAACCCCACTCAAACCCATCCATTCGTCGTGCAAATGACGTTAGTGCCAAATCAGGTTTTGCACGTGCAGTTGATCACGTGATCTTCACATCGAAGTTTTCTTAGTATGCACGTGTTTGCATTGGCCTCAAGAATTGAAAAAAACACTTTTAAACCACAGTCCTAACGGTACTTGAAATGCCACGATTGTCAAATGTGCAACGTTGGCATGTTGCAAGCGGGAAGATCAGTTATTGACGTCGCAAGAGAAATGGGATGCAGTCCTCGTACTGTGTATGACTTGCGAGGTCGTCTACAACAAACTGGCACCACTTCTGATCGCCCAAGATCGGGTCGTCCACGTGTGACGTCACGAGCAGAAGACCGTCAAATCGTCCTACGTCACCTACGTGACAGATTTCTGCCGGCTACACGAACCAGGGCTGAGATGTTTAGAGGTCGACTGTCCTCACAGACCATTCCAAATCAGTTGCGGGCTGCCAATCTCCATTCTCGACGTCCATATCGTGGGCCAATATTGACGCCGTTTCATCAACGTCAACGTCTGCTGTGGGCCCAACGTCACCGCCGATGGACCCAGAGAGACTGGAATCGAGTCGTCTTTAGCGATGAATCCAGGTTTACCCTCAGATTCGCGGACGGCAGGCACAGAGTCTGAAGACGACGTCGTGAACGGTATGCCCAATGTTGTGTACAGGAAGTCGACAGATTCAGGGGCGGAAGTTGCATGGTGTGGGGTGCTTTCTGTGGGAACAACCGTTCCCGACTTCTGGTCATCCGTGGAAACCTCACAGCTGCTGCTTACCGCGACCAGGTGCTCACCCCTGAACTCGTTCCTTTCATGGCGGCTCATGGCCCAGCTCTACAGTTCCAGCATGATAATGCTCGGCCGCATACCGCGATGTTGACACGAAATTTCCTTCAAAAGGCTGGAATCAACGTCATGGACTGGCCATCGAGGTCCCCTGACCTTAATCCAATAGAGCACATTTGGGATGCACTTGGGAGAAGGCTTCGTGGTCTTAGGAAACAACCTCAGAATTTGCAAGAACTTGGCGCTGCCTTGCAAGAGCAATGGCGCAGAATCCCCAACCACGTGTTCACAAGCATCAGGCAGTCGATGAGGAGACGGTGTTTGGCAGTGGTGAATGCGCGGGGCGGCCATATACGATATTGAACTGAGAAATTTCGCATTTTTATTCTTGTGACTTGACATTCTCTATACCCATGTTTTGGAACGGCGGTGTAGCCTAATGGAACTGATTATGGCACTGTCAGTGTATCGAGTACATCACACAGATCTCAGCAATGAAATAATGACAGTTTAACCATCTTACCATCTCTTGTTCTTTTATAGTGCCCTGAAGAAAGAATGTGAAGTTTCTTTTTTCACTCAGTATAGTAATTGCTTAGCAGCCACTAGTTCATTCATGGCAGACAGTATCGTGCCTGTGGTGTTTATAAGTATGCCTGATAACCTACATTGTCTGAATACGCCCGATTTGTCTCTGGTAACCTAGCTGTCTGTACACGTCTGATTCATCTCTGTTGACCTACCCAGTTTGTAAACCCCTAATTCGTCTCTGTTGACCTACCCAGTTTGTAAACCCCTAATTCGTCTCTGTTGACCTACCCAGTTTGTAAACCCCTAATTCGTCTCTGTTGACCTACCCAGTTTGTAAACCCCTAATTCGTCTCTGTTGACCTACCCAGTTTGTAAACCCCTAATTCGTCTCTGTTGACCTACCTAGTTTGTAAACCCCTGATTCGTCTCTGTTGACCTACCCAGTTTGTAAACCCCTAATTCGCCTCTGGTCACCTACCCAGTCTGTATACCCCTGATTCGTCTCTGTTGACCAACCAAGTTTTTAAACCCCTAATTCGTCTCTGGTCACCTACCCAGTCTGTACACCCCTAATTCGTCTCTGGTGACCTACCCAGTCTGTATACCCCTGATTTGTCTCTGGTCACCTACCCAGTCTGTACACCCCTAATTCGTCTCTGGTCACCTACCCAGTCTGTATACCCCTGATTCGTCTCTGGTCACCTACCCAGTCTGTATACCCCTGATTTGTCTCTGGTCACCTACCCAGTCTGTACACCCCTGATTTGTCTCTGGTCACCTACCCAGTCTGTATACCCCTGATTCGTCTCTGGTCACCTACCCAGTTTGTATACCACTGATTTGTCTCTGGTCACCTACCCAGTCTGTATACCCCTGATTTGTCTCTGGTCACCTACCCAGTCTGTACACCCCTGATTTGTCTCTGGTCACCTACCCAGTCTGTATACCCCTGATTTGTCTCTGGTCACCTACCCAGTCTGTACACCCCTGATTTGTCTCTGGTCACCTTCCCAGTCTGTATACCCCTGATTCGTCTTTGGTCACCTACCCAGTCTGTACACCCCTGATTTGTCTCTATGACCTACCAATTCTGTATAGCCCTGATTCTTCTCTGGTCCCCTACCCAGTCTGTACACCCCTGGTTCGTCTCCGTTGACGTACCTAGTTTATACACGCCTGATTCGTCTCTGATGAAAGCCTTCAGTCCCTCCCAGTCTTTCTCTCGCTGGCGAATCTCCGCCACGTCCTTGTCATGTTTCTCTCGCTTCCTGGCAGCGTACACGTCCGAACTGTTGATGTTTTTCTGATTGTTGTCATAGAAACGGACAGTTAGATGCTGATCAAGCGTTTCCACCACCCGACCAGGGGCGTAGCTCCAGTAGTAGATAGGGTGTGGGGCCAGTACACAGCCACTGGCTCTCTGTGACAGAAAGAAAACTCAATTATGAGGTACGGATTTACACAACAGAGGTGGTTACACAGAGGATCAAAACACTTCAACATGTTAATCAAATTAATGAAAACGTCAGTACGTTCCCGCGCTTAGTTATATTCAAGCTATAATCGGAAGAAGATCAAGGTGGATCCCACTCAGGCCTATCAAAGAAAACTTTCCCACTGTGCAGAAAAACGGAGAAAAACCCACACTAATCGTGGAAATAGCAACATAAACATAATACCTCGCTACTGAAACAGTAAAAACGGCAACTTTAAATCGCTGAATCGGGATAAAAAACGAAGAGTCTGCAGCTTCGATTTTGCGCATGCGCACATGGAAGAGGAAGTCTCGACCGCATGTTGACATTTTCCAGCTTAGACAAAAGTAACATTCCCATTTTATAGTATTTGTGTTGTGTTATTTGGCATTTATCATCATCATACTTGTGTGCACACTTGTTTAGTTTACTTTCCATTCGTATGAAATGATTGACAGCAATTATTTCGACATATTCAATACTTTTTCTACGCGCGGCGATTCAAGGTTGCTCGGAAATTTCAAAGCAGCGCGGGTCGTAATGGGCATGCGCAGTAGAGGTCAAAGTTCGCTGATACAAAAAATGTTGCAGTTTCATAGCCTTTCATAGCCGTTTGTACTGTTTATGTTGCTATTTCCACGATTAATGTGGGCTTTTCTGGGTTTTCTGCACAGTGGGAAAGTTTTCTTTGGTAGGCCTGCCACTGCTAAGCTAGATCGCGAGCATGATGCTGCTCTGAAATAAATGAGTGAGTGAATTTTAGTTTTACGCCGCTTTTAGCAATATTCCAGCAATATCGGGGGACACCAGAAATGGGCCTCACACTGTGTACCCATGTGGGGAATCGAAATAACAGAAATAATTCCTCAGTAAACCTATTCAAGTGTTACCTCGGGAGAGGACACAGTGTCGTAATGATCAGTTATCCGGACGATATCTTCCCCACTGATGATGTCATCTCGGCCTGTGGTATCTTTCACCTTGTAGTTGTATTTATCCATGCGCTGGACAATCCTTCCTGAAATGTTCAGTGGGGAATCAAACCCGGGCCTTCGATATGAAAACACCCAAACAAAACCTCCTCACCGTCATCAAATGTCTACTAGGATTAGTGATAGGTGGTGACTGACTAATGCCCAGGGTGCTTGTTTATGAAGCCACGATGCTAACAGACTCCTAAAACTAATCCTATCGGCAATGTTTCCTACCTTTGTAGTACCATCGGTCATCCTCCCACCGGGCCAGAACCTCCTCGCCATCATCAAAGACTGGATCAGGTATGGGTGGTGGTGGTGGTTCACTGGTTTGTACGTGTTTGCGGGTTTGGTTTCTGGAACAAATGTTATTTTGCCTGAACACCACAGGTATCCTTTACAGTGCTGTGAGTGGAGTACTATAAAAGTCAGAATTTTGTTGGATCGACGGATTGTGTATCGTAATCACCAACAGTATAAAATACAGGTGGTGATTCTCCGGGGTTGTACATTTTTGTGCTTTTCAATTCTGGAACAAATGATTCATTCTTACTGACACGCTTTGTCCATGTATCAATACTAATTTATGTCAGTGGGTCAGTGGGGTAAATATGGAAATAATTATGTAGCTTTCCCACCTCATTTCCCCAGGCCGCCGCCATATAGCTGGAATATTGCTGAGTGCGGCGTAAAACTAAACTCACTCACTCACTATTCTTGTCAGGGTGAGGCAACTCAATTGAACTATTGATATTCTGTTCTGTTATTTTTAACAGAGTCAGTCTATCAGTTTGATATCACATTTCGTGAAAAACTTTCTAAAAAAAAGTTTTCTTTGCTTCTATATAAATAGTTTCTGCTTAATGATAAATGACAAATGTGTGATTATCAGAAATGTATTAAGGTATATTTCCAATTTCAGGATATCGAAACTGCGTTAACCTGGATATATCCCAGCGAAGTTGGAGATTCCTATGGAGTCTTTAGGTGTAGATATATAAGGGGAGTTAACTCTTGCCTTTCATCTCGATTCACAACCGCATATAGGCCTTTTAAGGCCCAAGGTCGCCCTAAAACCTTATATACCTACCTACCTCGATTTACACCTCAAGTTACAAAAATATCAGCAATGGCGTGGAGATCATTTTAACTCTGTATACTTAACCTGGAAGCCTAACCATTGCTACATTGTGGTTTATATTACCATCTGTGTTGCTTTGTTGGTTGTCGGTTTCACGCACAGTCCTTATACAGGTTCCCGGTTAACTACTTCACGTAACGGGGCGGTGGGGTAGCCTAATGGTTACAGCGTTGGCTCGTCACGCCGAAGAACCCGGGTCGATTCCCCACATGGGCACAATGTGTGAAGCCCATTTCTGGTGTCCCCCGCCGTGATGTTGCTGGAATATTGCTAAAAGCGGCGTAAAACCAAACTCAGTCAGTCAGTCAGTACTGCACGTAACAATACATAAATATCACACCTTGGTTCCTCTGTTTGAGTTTTCTTTGCTTGTGTTTCTGGTTCCTCTGTTTGAGTTTTCTTTGCTTGTGTTTCTGGTTCCTCTGTTTGAGTTTTCTTTGCTTGTGTTTCTGGTTCCTCTGTTTGAGTTTTCTTTGCTTGTGTTTCTATCCTGAAAAATAAAATAGAAATATTTTAGTTCCTCATTTAATCAGTTCTTTGGTGTACAGTAATAGAATACACAAGAATGTTAATGTTAAACATTATGATTATTTCCTTATATTCATGTCATACCTCTGTTCCTCTGCTTGATTTTCCTTGGTTTCTATCCTGCAAAGTTAAATGAAAAAAATGAATGCATCAATTAAATATCTCTTCGGTGTACAGTATTAGAATTCACAAGAATGTTGATATTAAACGTCATGATTTCTTTAAATATATTCATGTCATACCTCTGTCCAACTGCTTGACTTTGCTTATCCTTTGTATAAAAGAAAAACATTTCATCATATTGTTAGTTCCTCGGTATACAGTAATAGAATAAACAGGAATGTTGATATTAAACGTGATGATTTATTTATTATTCGATCATTGACATTGAAAACGGCAATACGGTAAAGTATTTATCAATAACTTACCTGGAGGTTCGAAAAGCTTTATCCTTTGTACGGAATCTGTAAAGAATGTAAATTATGCAGCCATTATTACAAAGAAGTTAGACTCAATTCAAGTGTGTAAGCATATTTGGAGAATCGTCGGACTAGTGCATCGTCCTACCAAGAGTTCCAGATCGACCACGCGTGAAGGTCCGGGTTAGAATTAACCTTCAGTAACCCATGCTTGTCGTAAGAGGCGACTAACGGGATCGGGTGGTCAGGCTCGCTGGCTTGGTTGACACATGTCATCGGTTCCCAATTGCGTAGATCGATGCTCATGCTGTTGATCGCTGGATTGTATGGTCCAGACTCGATTATTTACAGACAGCCGCCATATGGGTGGAATATTGCTGAGTGCGGCGTAAAACTAAACTCACTCACTCCAGATCGACCAGCATAATACTTCTGCCACGTGATAGCCCAGTGGTTGAAGTGTTTACTCGTCACGCCAAAGATCCGGGTTCGATTCCCCATATGGGCACAATGTATGAAGCCCGTTTTCCGTGATATTTCCGGAATATTGGTAAAAGCGGCGTAAAACTAAACTCACTCAGTCAGTCACTCTGCCACAAGCAGCCACCACGTGACGATTCGTCACATCGTTACCATACTGTTCTAGTATTGTAGATGTTTTACATCTGTTTCATTTTTGAAAGACACTACATCAAAGTAATCACATGTCAACTTTCGTTCAAAAATCATCGATAAACAGGAAAAGATATTGTTTACTTTTGTTGTGAGGCTCATGTATACACTGTTGCAGTTGTCGTAGCATATCTAAATAATTATGCGGGGCTCGCTCGTCACGCCGAAGTCCCGGGTTCGATTCCCCACATGGGGACAATGTGTGAAACCCATTTCTGGTGTCCCCCACCATGCTGTTGCTGGAATATCGCTAAAAGCATCGTAAAACCATACTCACTCACTCCCTTACTTAAAATTATGCAAAACGCTCAGAAATGTTTCACAAAGCCAGTTTCTTCTGTTTTCATAATATGCGCGTTTGTTTACTGCCAAGAAATAATATTGTGCTACGTGATAATTACACAGTGGCAGTAGTGTATCCTAAGTCACCACTCTGTCGAAGTGTGGAGGAACAGTCCGTTTGATTTCATTTGAGACCGATGAATTGCTTACTAACACAAAATCGTATAATTTGCACAGTCCCAAGAAATCGACAGACCAACTCTGATGATTTGTCTCATAACATAGGTGGATCCAGAGGGGGGTTTGTTTTGCAGGGTGTGCACCCCCTTTTGTACTGAAAGTTTATTAAATGACCATTGAAACTCGGGTTTTTAAGTGTGCACCCTCCCTTTTCTCAATAGTGTCCACCCCCCTTTCTCAAAAAGCTGTATCCGCCCCTGCATAACTTTGAACACCCACTACTTTCGTCACATAATATGTTTCTGTTTTTTGCTATTCTCTTAGTTTCGATTATTTTCTCACAGCAACTATTATTTTCCCGATATTTCAATTATTTTCTTGCTACTTCGATTAGTAGTTTCCCTTTTTTCACCCCATATTCTATCATTTACACCAAGATAAGTGACAAAGTTCCTGGGAATGTGAACTGTTTTGCTCACAGGAACTATGCATACCAGGCATTTATTTTATACTTACAAAAGACGCTTTACAAAATTTCTCATCCGATTTTGACATTTCACTTTGAATTACAGTCAGGGTTTGAAACATTTCTAAAATATGAATTAGTGACAGAACTTAGATTAACCACTCGTTGAAGACTATAATAGCTGTACCATGTCGTTGAGAGAACGGTCGAAACTATATGGATCTTAATTATCGCTGTAGAGAAACTCCAGCCCGTGTCTGGTTCTGTTATGCCTAAAAACATAACATGCGAATTTAGGATTCGAACCCATTAACCTTACCCATCCGTCTCTGAACAGCCAATTACACGTTTTTCACGATTGTCCCACACAGACTTTTGTTGGTGAAATGTACCGTACGTTTATATGGCAGTGCTTCTCTTTATCTTCAGACGTTTGACCTTTACATTTGTTTGTTTGTTTTTAACCCAACATGATAACGACATGATAATGATTACCTTGAGGGAGAAGGACGACGACGACGACGGGGAGGCTGGTTTGAATCAGTGCTGCGAACAAGAATGGAAGAAAGATGAAAGAGACAGTAATATAAAAAATCATAACAGAAACGACCACAAATGTTAGGAAATAACATACAGATGTGAGGATTTTGTAGTTCGAGCTTTTGATTCTGGATTAATTACAAATCAAACAAGTGGATATTAAAGGACAAGCAGGAATATCAGACACCAAAGACTACAAACATTATGACAAAAACAGTACTGTTTTAAATCATTAAGAGTATTAAAGGCACAATGTCACACATTTTCAACAATATTTTTGCCTATATTTTATATATTGGGGGCACATGCACTCACTTTGGCTTCCTATTGATGCAATAAAAGACTTAATATCCCTTACGACTTGCATGAAATCGATAACTGAAACTTCGAGGCGAACAGCTTCCAAACAGATAACACTTGCCATATATGAAATGTGAACGATTGCTCCGCACATTGAAAACTGTCGCACGCTGTGTTGTCGGTGTTTGCCGAACTGGCCTCATTCACAAGTTGCGTTATAAATAGGATAATAGTGAAAAGCGTTCTAAGGGACATAACGCTATGGGGTTCGCTTGAAATAATTTTCGGCCGGTAGAGGGCGCGAGAGTCGATGTAATGCAACGTTGCATGAATTCATTCGAATCTTTTAATTTAATATTGTAACCTAAATAAATATGTATCTATTTTTTGGAATAAAGTGTATGGTTACTTCCCCGAGGGCTGATAGTTACTATTACTGAGAGATATGCATTATGTATTTTTAGAGAAATGTGATGTGATTCTAACCTCTAGGACGTTCCAACCTTTAATCCCCACGGGATGCAGATTTATCAAAGAAGATGCTACAGATGCTGTTTGAGTTTACCGAGTGAGTGCGGTGGGTTTTACGCCGCTTTTAGCAATATTCCAGCAATATGACTGCGAGGGATACCAGAAATGGGCTTCACACATTGTACCCATTTTGGAAATCGAACCCGGGCCTGAGGCATGATGAGCGAACGCTTTAACCGCTAGGCTACCCAACCGCCCTGAGTTTACTGAGACGAAGGATGACCTTGTGATCGGATGAAGAAAAACTCCTCAAAGTGACAAAGTAGAGAGCGGTTTGTGTTATTATACACATTGTCAAATGTATATTGAAGACAAGATGAAGGTTACCTAGGAGAACGAGATGGAGAAGAAGCTGGAGAAGTCCTCGATGAAGAAGGCAGTGGAGAGGACAGATGAGTCCTTTCACTGAGCCTTTAAACAAACATTGAAGGTCAACTCTCATTATTATTTCTTTGAAAATATGTTACAGAAACAATGCCATGGGCATGAGCTGATTCCAATACATATTACTACGGATATGACGAAAAACCAGAAAATATGCTTCTGCACCACTGCATCAAAATGTTGTCGGTTGCTTCCAATAGGTCATGTGAGTGAGTGAGTGAGTTTAGTTGTACGTCGCACTCAGCAATATTCCAGCTATATGGTGGCGGTCTGTAAATAATCGAATCTGGACCAGACAATCCAGTTATCAACAGCATGAGCATCGATCTGCGCAATTGGGATACGATGACATGTGTCAACCAAGTCAGCGAGCCTGACCACCCGATCAAGTTAGTCGCCTCTTACGACAAGCATGGGTTTCTGAAGGTTCATTCTAACCTCAGACCTTCACGGGTCTACTAGGTCATGTACGGTTAGAAGAAAGCAACAGACGAAGTTGGAGGTGTCGAGGAAGGAGTTGGAGAAGGAAGATGATACCTCTCATTCATCCTTCATGCTAAAAATGAATGTCACCTATCAATATTACCCTTCTATATCAATATTACCTTTCTATATCAATATTACCTCTCTATATCAATATTACCCTTCTATATCAATATTACCCTTCTATATCAATATTACCCTTCTATATCAATATTACCTTTCTATATCAGTATTACCCTTCTATATCTATTACATAACAGATGAAATGTTTAAATGCATATAATGAGTCGATTCAGATTAATGGAGTGGAACCAAGTATGGATATAATACCAGTTGACACGATGTACAGTGCAGTAGTATGGTGACCGCACATTTCCGAGGTGACGTAACGTGACGCAACCTCGAAAATATACGGCCACACTGACGTCATACACGTATGACGTCACGACGATTGGTCTCGTGACGTCACGATCTACAAACGAAGGTAGTGACGTCACTTGATGGTGACGCAACCTCAAAAATATACTACCACACTGACGTCACGCCCTACAACGACGGTATTGACGTCACGTGGTCATTGAACCGTCACAAATAAGGGTAATGGTCGTCTAGTACGTGTTCGTGTGTGTGTGTGTGTGCGTGTGTGTGTGCGCGCGCATGATGTGACCTCTACTAATGACGTCACACAAACAAAAATGGCGACCATAAGAATCCCATCCGTCAAGCTAAATTCTCAATTACTCCCAGACGCGTTTTTACCTCATAAATGCACCATTAGCGTGCCAATAATATTTGTGTTTTTGAAGGAGGCTAGGGAATCTCGTGCTGTCTATGTAAAGCTCTCTACAATACTAGACCGCAAGAAACACCTAGACACTCTTAATCACACGACCACCCCCGTCTGTGTAAAGCTCTCTACAATACAGGACTGTAAGACGGTGATATTCTACGTGAAACAAAATGTGAGGTACAAAACGGCAAAGCAGCAAGAGTGGTACCGAGTGTTACGTTCTTTACCTCGTATCGTAAACCCAAAGCGGGAACGAATAATAATTTTGAAGGAGGTCTGTAAATGTCGTACTGCCAATGTAAAGCTCTCTACAATACTAGGCAGCAAAACAAATGTAACAAGACACTCAAAAAATAACACACCCTCCAGTTTATGTAAAGCTCTCTACAATACAACACCGGAATGCCGTTATATTCTACCAAATACAACAAAGAAGATATTGAGTCGGACAGTCTATGTAAAGCTCTCTACAATACTAGACCGTGCGAGCACCGTATCCCTCGTTGTTTAAACCACCCCAAAATATACCCACGAGGTAGACAACGTCAACACTTTTATATAAAACACAACAGAGACTAGTAAAAAGAACATCTCACAAATTTTATTCGTAAATATGCACATCTACATTTCTACCCACAAATCAACTCAGTTTACAAAACAGTTCTCATGTCAGTATCAAACCTGACGGGGCACGTGATTTTGAGAAATGCGCATGACGGGCTGAACTTGTTGTGTTCAAAGTCTATGTCGTCTTCTGCACACCATTTGCATAGTCTTAATCCACACCATGCACACACGACCTTGTCCGCCACACCCGTATAAAAGAATCCTCTCCGGGCTAGTTGTCTCCCCTTTTGAACCATTTGTTCTGGCCAGTCCTGGAAAGAAACCATCCTGGCGTAGCCGCTGAGCATTAGCCGCAGCAGTAGTTCTGGCTTAAATCCGTCAGTAGCCTCCTAGGTTCCCCACGTGTCTCCGCGTGTACCCGCGAACTGTCTATCACCGTTTCTCCTCCATTCTCCTGTTGTGAAACGGTAATTTTGAATCCGCATTATCATCGCTGAAACGCTGGATACCATATTTCCCGTCCACAGACAAGGTGTCTTCGTTTCCAGAGTCCTTTGATGGCGATACTTCTCCCTTCTTATTGAAGAAAAGTTTACATCTTTCTCCATCGCTCTGGTCATTATACGAGATCGGGAGCGTAGCAGCAGGACATCGTGGTGCGGATTACTCAAAATATACAACCTGGCTCTCGGGCAGTCGGCTTCTAACTAGCTACTGCGTGCTACTCTCGACACCATCAGCGGTTACGTGCGAAAATAATAGGGGGGTGTGACCTAAGGGCGCCTCGTCCTGCCATTGGACGGTAAGGGGTCAAATCCCGGCCCTGGACATAATTATACCAATTACATCGAACACAGTCGTTATCGCTGCGAGTACCTCACAGCGTAAGCGCTAAACGCCGGGCTTGACACCTCCTTGTATGGTTGCCTAGTAAGACCGGTTTTGTGACGAGATGACAGCGTGGGAGAAAAATCGACAACATTCCTACAGCTCCATCAATAACCTAATTTTTCCCTCGTCAAAATCCATAGCTCTTAAAGTTCTCGAGTATATTCTTCTTGGCATTATCATACCATCTGAAAACCATGGAATCGTTTGCAAGCGTATTACTTTTACTGAAATGAGGGGCAGTGGGGTAGCCTAGTGGTTAAAGTGTTGGCTCGTCACGCCGAAGACCCGGGTTCGATTCCCCACATGGGCACAATGTGTGAAGCCCTTTTCTGGTGTCCCCCGCCGTGATATTGCTGGAATATTGCTAAAAGCGGCATAAAACTAAACTCAGTCAGTCAGTTTACTGAAATGACTAACTATATCGTCGTTAGAAATACCTCGAGATCGCCAGCTACCGAAATATAAACAATGGTGACTGCAAGCTACTGACGATAGACTTTGCACACGAAGTCTGTTGTAGGAATAATGCAAACGACCGTATTTTGTCACAAAATCGTGAAATTCGGGCCATATTCGCGTGTAATCTATACCGTACGAGTCGTGCATGTGTAATCTACCGGGTGCCTCTACGCTTAAAGCGAGCCAGTGACTTCCCGGTTCGCTTTTTCTGTCCGTGTTGCAAATTAACAATATAGGATATTTCAGTCTCTTCATCCCGACTATTTTATTACCACACACCTCTTCCAAAGTATCTCTGCTACTTATGCCGCCATAGATGTTTTTAAGGAAAGGCTCATTACGACCAAACCATTCCAAATCTCGACCGTACAACATTTTAGAAGGATATGTAACTCGTCCCTCGTCTACGTCAGTGTATAGCGGCATTTCTAAAGTGGTCAAATTCTATTACGCTGTCCAGCTCTCTATAACACACTAACGTCAGAGCTCGGGGCGTTGGCTGCGAAAATTTCAATTCTATGCCGACCTTACCAGAGCTCTTCGGATACACTTGTGACATGTCAGCACCTAAATCGTGCGTTAAATCGAACACAAACAATGTAGTGCCGTCTAAAAACTCTTTGAGAGTTACTGTGTGCGTGGAATTTCTCCCCAAACCCCCTGTATTTCTAAACAGCTCTAGGTATGTCTGATACATCCGTGTAGAGTCGGGTTCGAAATTGACGGTATGGCATCTTTTGCCTACCTCCTGACCGTTTACTTTAACGGCTATTTCCGTCAGTCCAAAAGGCTGGAAATTAAAAGGATTTTTGTTCGAAACCCCCACAAAGGATTCGTTGTCAACGATACCAATACTATTCTTTTAGGAATGTGACCCATTATTAAATGTTCGGAATTATATTCTCTCAGGCCTTGGGGAATGTCGTGTGCCGTAGTTTTCACCTGGGCTATGGGATATTTCACGGTACTTCCACGCGTCAAACCTCTAATATGGCTATCTCTAATAGCTGGTGCTACGTTTACTTGTCTGACATGAAATTCGGCTGAGAGTATATGGCAAGCAAAACCGGGTATGCGAGTACCGGCCTCGTCCGTAGTGGAGTGTAACATATAAAAGTTATTTGGGCTACGTATCAATTCGATTTTTAAAGGTACCCCGTCTATGAGGTATCTATGCTGCATGAACAAATCAGAGTGTAATTTTCCAACGAGTTCTAAGGGCCTACTGGGCACACATTTTTGCCGTCGTTTCGCGAATGCGGGGTTGGAATCTTCATTGCCTAGAGAAAAGTTATTAAAACACCCTGCCTTATCTTTACTGAAATTCTGTGCTACCAAATTGTTGTCTATTTGTGATTTATCGCAGCTCAGTAGTGTTTCTATGTACGCTCTGTACGGGTATGTACCCAAACTGTCTGTTAATTCTAGTTGATTAGAGCCTGCTATTACTCTCACCTCCCGAAATAGAGAATGTAGAGTATTTGTCACGGGGGCGCACACGTCTCTACGTCTAGTCACCGTCTCCCCATCAGCGCTCATCACATTGTCAGCGACTGCAGCACGACCATCCGTCATCTTCAATTCGCATACAATTCTCAGGTAACATTCGGCCAAGTCTACGTAGCTGTTTATAGGGTTATTGATATCAAACCTTATGGTGCCGTCCAACTGCCCGAGGCCTGTAACGGGGCTATATTTGGTCCAGTGTGAATCCGTCATCGTGGAAACCATACCGGTAATGAAAATAAATCCAGTTAAGCTTTTACGCATTGCGAGTGTTCCATATCCCTCGACATCGTGATGGATGCTATGATATCTCTACTAAAATGCCAAACGCCTCTTAGACTTTCTCTCACGCTTCTTTCTGCTCG